ACGGCTGAAAACACATTTTATATCCATAACTACTCTTAATATCAGCACAACAATGTTAAATCTGCAAATTTGCATTATCAAACTTTCTCCTCCCCTCCCTCTTCACTGTCTTTGTCGTCGTCTTCCTCCTCATCATCACTGTCAGTTTCAATGACTTCACCAAGGTAATTTTCCAACATATGTTTATACTTTTGTAAGGATATTTTGTAGTCCATTTCACCATCTATCATTTCCTCTGCTTTTTTTACGACCTTTCCGTGAAGTTTACAATTACGTAGTTGCAGTTCGTACTGAAGAAACTGTCCATATTTAGACATCAATTAATCCAAGTCTTCTCCTCTTATTTTTCGATTGGCTTTTCGCTCAGCATCGAATTTGTTTAATCCCTGATCCAAATATTTATTTACTTTTGTACTCCATATTTCCTCATTATCTTCTCTGGCTAGTTTCGTAAAAGGTACGTCCTCACCATCGTCAATATACAAACGAGATTCTGTGGTGTGGTGTCCACATCATCATCCCATTTACGTTTTACATCTATATTTTCAGGACATTTCCTAATCATGTGTGTCTAGCCAGATCGTGCACACTTTCAAATATTATTCCACAGTCGTCACAGGAAGGCATGCTTTCTCTCTCGTCTGGTAAATACATCTGTTCATTTTGACATGTGCTGGTTCTGGTTCTTTTCTTCTTATATACTTATAAGACACACCTCTACGATTCATGTTCTTGTTTTCGAATATATTAATTTTTTTTAAATTTGATGCTCGTGGTTCTACTACCTTTTCCCTTCGACAAAGCATTCGTACGATGCATGCCACACTCAGATTTCTATGATGTCTGCCCTCCACCAAGAGTTCACAATCATCTTTACTATTTGTGTCGTCACTCATTAAATCGTCCAGGATAATTACATTTGGATATCTTGTGTCTATGAAGGCATCATCATTAAAGTCTTCCGGAATTACTTGCACACATACAATGTTCTTAATAGTCTGTTGCACTTCGCTGAATAATGGCAGCCACCGTTTATAACAACATATAATTCGTTCAGGAACTGGTTTAATCAAAGTCCGTGTTCTCTCCAATAATGCTTTCATCAAAAACGTTTTTCCTGACCCTGTAGGTCCAGCCAACATCATGCTAAACGGATGTTGAAGTTCCACATTCTTCGGCGGCGGCGGAAGAGGAGGAGGAGGAGGAGGAGGAGGAGGTAGAGGAGGCGGTGGATACGTATCATTGCTCGGAGGATACACATGACTGATCGGTTGATACGGTTTATTGATGTCATGTTGAATTTTCTTATGTCTAAGCATATTGTTTTTTCCCAAAAATTCCATATCACATTCTGGACAGGTTGTACTCATCACGGAGAGCTCTTAAAACACGTCCGTTTTCTTTAACTGCTCAAATGATAATGATTGATACCTTTGTCTAAAGACTTCATATTCTCAAATATTCATAAGCAAGACTACTTAAACCATCATCTAGTAAGTATTTTTTGTCATCAAATGGTGACAGACCCAGTTTGTTAATAGATATATTGTATAATTCATGACAATAGGATCTGATCTGTATCATAGTAGACATATGAATGTCTTTGTTAAACAGACATTGCATGTAGTGTGCATGTCTAGTGTGATGTTTGATGACATTCTTCTTTATACCCGTCGCTGTTTTCTTTTCACTGACATGTCCATCCTCTTCATATATCAATGAGTACATCTTAGACTTTAGACCGACAAACTCATGTATAGGAATTCCATGGGTTTCATCCTTCATCTTTCCTAGCACCTTTTTATTTATTGTGCTATGAAGCCGATGTTTTGAGTCAAATTCGGATGAATTGAATAAGTGCTTGTCTTCCATCATATCTTGATATATACATGTATCAGGAATGTTAATGCTGTAGAATAACGAGTCCGCGCCTGTAAACAAGAATGTTGATTTATCTCCATATTTATCCTTTACATGATTGTAATGAAAATCGTACATCAGTGTTTTGACAAATCAGGTATAGTGAATCCCACGTAGATGGGTCTATTTAAGTATAATCGTTGCTTCAACATGTAAACAGCCACCATCGTTAAATATTCTAAAGGCATGAAACGTTGGTTTGCTGATTAGTTTTCTGGCTTTTGATTGGTCGTTAACTAGTTTGATATCTGTTCTCTTTCTTAAATTCTCCATTGTCTTTCCGAAGACTGCATTGTTCATTAATTTGAAAAAAATCTTTCTCAAAATTATTTGTGCCATCTTTCTCTTTTCTGTGTTAAAACCTATATATTTCTTTAGCCATGGTTCCTGTTTAAATGTCATGACTCTGTGAATCTTTTTCAATCTTATTCCAAGTGATAATTAGAGTTTCAAATTTCTATAATGCACTACATATTTTTCCTTTGGATATAAATTTGGTATGAACTTTTCTGTCGATGTCCCTTTTAAGTTTAAATCCTTCAACAGCTTTTTGGTATAGGCTGATAACATATCCTTTGTAACCTTGAGTTTTTCTGGAGCCAGTGGATATTCGTTGTGAGCATCATGTAATTCTCCTGGATATTCTAAATCTACTTCGAGCACATAACCATCTTCATTTTCATCTGCAATGTCAGTGATATGTAGATTCTCTATTTCACAATCGTCTAACCATCTGAAGCCTTTAACTGGGAGTGCCTGGGACATGGCCCATGCGTAAAAGTTGTTTGCATCTAGGTACATCACGTGACTTTTTGGTTGATTTTTATTGTACTCTGGTACATGTTTATTGCTCGTTTTGGCGTGGCGATGGGATATCATTGATATTCCCCCTCTTAACCCTTTCTCTATAAACAAATGCATGTTTACGTCTGTGAGTAGTCCTAATTTAATCCGTGTCATTTTCAAGGCAGCCTGCCATGCAAGCCCGGGTGAGGTATAAAAATGTGCAGCATCCAGGTCATAGTAGTTGACGCAGATCTCTCTGAAATTTTCAAATCCGTCAGCTAATGCAAGGACATCTGATAGTATGTTAAGGTCATGGTACTGTCCGCAACTCTGTATTTTAAAAGATTGCCACACGTGTGGTGCATGTGCGTAATCCAATGTGGAGATTCCTTCTCCCGATAATGAACCGTTAAACGCTCCAATCGGTGGTAGTTTATCTTCTGAAAACATTTAGTCAGAATCAAAATACTCGTATGGGTATACTTGTTTTCTTAACAGTAACTCAATCTTTTCTTCTCCAAAATATCTCGTCATAGGTTGAAATTTACTGGAACCTTCTTTAGCAAGGTTCTCAACTAGTTTTTTTAAAGCCGAAGCCACCAAGTGGAGCGAGTCTATAAAATTCATGCAGCCCAATGAAAACGAAATATATTTTTTCCATATTATAAGCGATACAAATCAACTGTTTCCCTTCAACTTTTCTAATAGCTTGCATGATTAAATGACTATCATATCCACTAAGGTTATGAAATACAACTGGAATTCAACCTGTAAACGTATAGTTGATATTACAGTCGTTATGAAACGCCCCTCTAAATTTTCCAGTCACATGACGGTGATCTCTTACTCTGTGTTCCAATATTTTTTTTTATGGCATATTTGGCAATTGGTAGCCTTCGTAAACGATTGCCAATCACTTCCAGTCATGGCCATGGGGACGCCATGCTTAAATTTCTGTTCGATATATTCCTGCTCGTTCACCATGCACTCAACAAATTTGTAAGCAGCATCGGCACCGCGATAAACCACTGGTTCATTCGATATTTTAGGTGTTTGACCTACCATTGTACGCAAAGCCACATGGTACATGTTTGGTAGTCTTTCTCGTCTTTTGGTCATCCTCGTTGTTATCCAGGATTGGTTCTTGAAGTCATTCAAAATCTGCATTGTTAAGAGCCAATCCGCCAGAAAACCATGCAATATTCAGAAAATCGTCCAAATCGACAATCATCACTTGACAAATTTTTATACATCAGCTTAATCCTTGACATAAAATAAAAGAATTTGACCACTTAATTTTTCACAGAATCGTATCTATTTTTAGTAACAGCCTCATTTGCATAATTCTGTAAATTAATAATGAAACCAAGGAAAAATCCAACTTTTTTATGCCTTTTAAGAATGACCCAGAAGCATATTAAATGGGGTAGTTGAGTTTTTAGAGTAATGTCAGCTGAAACTCATTTATTTTACTATGTTATGATCAATACAAATGAAAATTTAAACGATTTGGCAAATTGCCAGGAGCAGGGAGACAAAGGCGGTGTTTTTCATACATGAATTTACGTGGTTTTCATTCGCTTCTATCTTGCAAGACCCATTCCGGATTTGTTTGCAACTTATATCGGTTTTAACTATGGGGTATGTTTTATATCAAAACAAAATATTAAGCTTGGCAAATGACTATTATATGTTAATTTATGCCTTGGAAGAATGGTGATTTTAGTCCCAAATTGACACATTTTGATTTTGATTTTAATTAAATTCTAAACACAATTGGTACTAAAATGGCTCATAAAATCATTCGAACAAGTAAAATCAATTTGTCTGAAAAATGAAATAAGACGTATTTGTACTGCAAGTCCAAAAACCAATAAATTGTCTGAAACCAGGGAGTCCATCTTTTATGCTCTTCCATTGACTTATCTTCCTTGGGTAAGATCTCAAACATGTCAGCTCCCAGTGATGGTTTGGCAGACAAATGTTTACAGTGAAGTTTGTGACTTTAATAATCTAGGATGAGCATGTGGGCTATCCCAGTCTTATACATCTACATATTACAAACTATTTAAGATATCTGAATGCACTAAAGACCAAAATAGCATTTCCAAAAAAAATAATTACTGCCAAGAAATTTGACAAACATGACAATAATTTAGTGAATAAACATGATAAATATTGATTGGAAAAATAAGTCCATGAACAGCAAAAAGTGTTTTTAGATTTCAACGAGCAAAACAAAAGTATTCTAAATCATTCTTTGTAAAAAAAAAGTGAGCGAGTGCATGGAGTGGAACCACCTTGCTCGCACCAAAATTGAGATTGAGAGTGTCAAAACTGCTCTGGCGCACCATCAATAAATCAACGACACTCTCTCTACCATGGTATTGAAACCAGCATTGGTAACCAAACATATTCATACAGATACAGACTACCATTCATCTACATTTAGGAAGTCTGAATAATACTGAAAACTATGGTGTAGAATTTCCAACAGGACTCCTTATTTTATATAAGACAAGGAGTGGTTTATTTTCCCATGGTTGTTACATCATCTTGTCTTTGAATATGCTCGAAGTACAGGGACTTTTATGGAATTCATTGACATGATAGTCAAGCAAGATGTCAACATCTCGTCCAACCCTCTTCCAGCAAAGCCAAAGCTGACCAAGGATCTTCACCCTTTCAAAACAGGCTGTATACAGGACGAGTTATTCCAGTAGGAACAGGTACAAATCTTACAATCAATTTTCATTTGTTCCATATAGTCAATCTGAAATTAGAGGACCAACAATTGATACATTAGCTAGATAAAAAAAAAGGGGGGGGGGATGGGTGTTGAAGGGGCATGTGAATATTCTTTTACACCTGACCTGTTTCTAAGACATCTTATTTATTTCCTATGGCAAAGTGCAAGCAAATAATATATATCCGTATATACATTGTTCTGTCTTGGGACCATTTGATTAAAAAAGCAAGGGGGAGGGTTAGAATGGTCAAAATATTTATGTCCTTGTCAGCTTAGGACAAAATTTTAATTTTCAAGCTATTAACCAGGGTACAATATATATTTAGTTTCTGCTTTAAAAAATCAATTTATAGACCAGAATCATGATAATAATCAAAATCTATTTCAACATATCCAAGTTTAGCAGGTCAGGTTTTTATTCTCTTCCCCTAAGTTATATTTTCAGTTCTTACTGGCAGTTGTTCAGCTCTTTGTCTACTAAAAAAAGTTTTATCTCGTGGAAAAGCCTCCTACAAATACATGTTTTACATACATTTGTACAACAAACTGTACATGTAACACTAGACAACTTTATCCAGAGAATAATATTTTTTTAATGAACTAATAGGCCATGGAGACTAAAAAAATCAAAAGCATTGCAAACTTTTATAAAGTTCAATTTTAGGACCCTACATGTACATGTATGTAGATTACTTATAGAGCCCTTTTTAAAAGAAAAAAACATACATTTAAACTACATGCACAGTGATGCTACACTACCCTACATTTCCTGTCTGATATATTTTATTTCATGTAAAACAAAATTGAAGAATTATTTTATAGTTTAACACTTTTTATTTGTAGGGCTATATATATGCAAGCAATGCTCAATTAAGATGAATTTTTGTAAAAGTGACAATAGCCAGGTCAAACTAAATACATGTATAGAAGAAGACATTGGTAAGTTATTATTAACTTATATATTAATTTAACTGTTTGTATAACATGGTAATCATACAAAGTATATGTAATCACTCATATAATAACATAATTATACAATTACATGTTATACATCAGTTTTATTAAACAGGTCTTTGTTAACTTGGTTTTCCCATTGAAAAATCACTTTGCTAATTTTAATTTGTAGTACTATATTGGGCGGCTCCTATAGTTTCCATTCAATAACTAACAATGACTAATGAACTGTTCATACATTCCATTTCAATTATTTTATTTATTAATACGTATTACTTTTACTGTTAAGTCTGTTTTTTGTGATATCCATTTTACGTGACTCTGTATTTATGTATCCCGTCATACTTTGAACGACAAAATTATTTTATGTCTACCTGTGCGAGTTTCAAACGCGCGATTTTACGCCAGTACTTAAAACCTTCCATCCTTTATGGGTGGATTTTACATAGATATATAAAATAGTATAATATAAGCAAAATGAGGATGTTAAATTTGATGTATGCCTTTTTGTGCTTCTTCGTTACATTTGTTTGTTTTTATAGTGATTAAGATGATAACACAATGTTGACTGCTGTACCCCTATTTTTGACAATTTTACCTATTGTGTCTGTTTGTTTTGTTCACGCATAGTTATCAATATAATGGAATTTATCTTGACTGTCATACAAGTGAGAGGTTTATTATCTAGCTATAAAACCAGGTTCAATCCACCATTTTTCTACATAAGAAAATGCCTGTACCAAGTCAGGAATATGACAGTTGTTGTCCAATCGTTTGATGTGTTTGAACTTTTGATTTTGCCATTTGATTGGGGACTTTCCTTTTTGAATTTTCCTCGGAGTTCAGTATTTTTGTGATTTTACTTTTTCAAATATAAAAGGGGGGAGATTTTTATTGGTACTTTTGAAGATATTTCACCTGTTCGATTAATTGATTGGTTGTTGGTAATGCTAATGTCCAATGACAAATAGTTCATGCATGTTTAGGACAAGAACAAATTAAAATAAATACATTATTTGGGTTCTTAATTATATGCTACATGTAAATCTAACAATGTATTTAAATAATTTAAGATGTTGCAATTGGGCCCCATTTTAAATTGGTTCACATTGATTTCAAATGGTCCAAAATTTTTTTTCTTATTTCTACACAACTTGAATTCTTGAGGTTCTTTTGATATACAAAATGCAAATGTTTTATATTTAGATTTTTAATTTTGGTCCGGTTTTCAAATTTGTCCACATTTTAAAATCCAAAGGGTCCAAATTTTAACTTAGTTTAATTTTAACAAAACTTGAACTCTAATTACAATGAATTAGGGTTCTTTGAATGATAAATAGAAATAATCAAATATCCTGAATATAAATATGTACTTAGATTTATGATTTTGGTCCCAGTTTTCAAGTTGGTTCAAATGGGGTCCATAATTTAACTGTGTTTGATTTCAACAATAATTTTAAAGATGCTGATTCAGCCTGAATCTAACCTGTATTTAGTTTTTGGGCCCTATTATGAAATTGGTTTACATTGAGGTCCAAAGGGTCCAAAATTAAACTAAATTTTAAATCTTAATTTGATCTCGGGGTTCTCTGACATGCTGAATCTATTAAACTTTATCTTTATACCATATTTATTCTGTGTTAGAAACCTATTCTTTGTCAAATATTTAATCCCATTACAAATTTAGAGCTGTTATAGCTTGAATGTTCTGTCCAAACTTGCATTTTTTCTTCATCTTCCACAAAATTTGTCCTTTTCTGAGATAACTGGTGTTATCTTTTTAATGAAACTTTAGTGAAAAGAAAAGCACAATATGTGGATGATTATCTGATGTCAAACATTTTCAAGATGGCCACCAAGGATGGCACAAATTTCAACACTGGTTAATTTAATGAAAATTGTTAATTAGGGATAGTAGTGGTAGTTTGACTTGCTAAACAAAGTAAGGTTGTTTTTTCTTCCAAAATGGCAAACATTTTCAAGATGGCCTTATATGAAAATTGACATTAAGGAATTATAGCACTTTTGACATGCCAACAAAACAATGAAATTTTTTTTTAAAGATGGACACAGCAAATAAAGGATAAAATTTTCAATTTTGTTGAGTCTGATTTTAAAGAATATTGATATTTAGCTGTACTTTGACACAGAGAACAGATATAAAGATGGCCACCATTTCAAAGATTGTCACTAAAAGCGGTCAAATTATCACCATTGTCTGTTTTCAATGTAAAATTATATTGAGAGGTAATTTGACATGCCAAACCAAATGGAGGCAATTTTTATTGTTGTAAAGATGTTAAGGGCTATTTTGGACATTATTAAAAGGAGTGGATAATAACTATTCTGCAAAAATGATTTGGCTTTAGTTGGGAGAATTTTGTAACTGCATCCACTTACAGTAAAAGTTGTCAATTTTATTTCCTGTCAGTGGTATATATGAAATTAAAAAAAAATGTGGTATGATTGCCAATGAGAACAAATGACATAGAAGTAAAGCTATAGGTCTTCATACGCCATATGGCCTTCAACAATGAGCAAGACCTATACTGCATATATATTCAGCCATAAAAAGCCCCAAAATAATAAAATGAAAAAATATGAAAACTAACATCCTGATTTATGTATGTATGTTTTGTGGTTTTCAGATCTAGACTCGCAGCTAACCTTTCTGTCAGTGTCAACAACAACTGAACTTTCACAGCAGTCAACATCAGATTGGGAGACTGATAACACTTCTAACAGAAACAATTTCAACCAACCAAACAAGCAACAGAAACTTTCCAACTTTAAAACATCAGTTAAATCTTCCATTGGATGATGTCTCAAAAAATAACAGTTCATCATTTAATGAGATTTTAATGTTATGGTTTTTCTTTTACAAGAAAGTTAATGTACACTTGTTTTATAGTAAAACCTATAGCCGTTCAAGTATAAAAAAACACATTCAACTTTATTGAAATTTGAAGATTCATATGACTTATTTTAATTCTGTTATCTCCGAGGATGTGATGTAGAGCATTATAGGTACAGTAATCTTAACAGCTATCCAATTTCATTCAAAATTCTTTATAAATTTTGCACTGGTATATATAGACTAAGTAATTTGTTTTTCGTCTAGTTATGGGATTTTTTTTTAGAAGCATTTATGATTTTCATGTTTGTATTGACCACATTGCAGCAACATAGATATAGGTACCATGCAAATCTTGCCTTGTTAGCATACTAGGCTCAAAGGGTCATAAGGAAGTACACCACTAATTCATGGCCCTATTGCTTTCTATGTTAAATTCCTCAATTTCAAGCAGACACAGCTCTTTTGTTTCAAGTTCAAATAAAGTGACAATCATTGCATGTCAAAGCAACACTTTATGGTGTCTTGTACTGGAAAAATCAACATACCTTTAATGGCATATAAGAAAGAACTGGTTCCCGGAACTTCGGATGTACCAAAACAGGTACTTCAGATCTGACATACAGGCAAATAGTACCCTCTTTATAAAATTTGGTGCAGTTTTTTTAATATTCAAAATTATAAGTCAAAAAGTGTTCTACAATGATCACCAGTCATTCAGCTTTCATTTGATACCAACAATACCTAAATATTCTACATATTTTAAAAGTTACACTCATGCGTAGGAACTATTTTGTGTTAAATATGTACTACTTTCTAGTATGTGCTTTCTGGCCGGGCCGAATTAGTGGTGTTACACCTATAACAGAACCAAACTTGCTATACTGACTTCAGGATCACTTTATTTCATTCTATGATCTATTTCAAGCAATAAAAAACACATAAAGCTTAAGTCCAAATACTATTTTACTAATTTTAAGCTCAATTTGGACTGGTAGTAACATATAGGTTATTCAAAGAAAACTGCATATGGATATTATAAATGGCCAATATACTTATTTTATTCTCAATATCATTGTTGTATTTAATAATTTCTGTTAGGAAAACAATGCGCTTACCAATAGTCATATTTCACCAGAGTTTGTTCATTTAACAAAAATATATTAGACCAAACCTAAGACATAATTGAGAAAATTGTCCCCCCTTTTTTCTTCAAATTGGAAGAGGGACATTTTTGGTATAAACCATACTTCTGTGGTACAACATAGATTATAAAGAGCAATTTATATATTTTTAAGCTTGATAACTTGCTAAACTGGTTCAAAATTGCATGTACAGTGAGATTTTGGAATTCTTATATGAGTATATACCAATTGCCTAGATTGTAAAAGGCTATCATAAGAAAACCAATAAAACTTGAAAAATCATAGGACTATTTGACCAAGAGCTATTTTTTTTACCAAAAACAAGTCATTATATACATGTGTTATTGATTGCAGTCCCAAATAATGCAAAAATAAGAATTTGGAGTCAAGTCTTAACTGCATGCATGTTGTGTGACCATAAAAGGCTAAAATACCTGATTATGTCAATTTAAGAGCTGAAATTTCCCATAAACAGAATTGTTCATCCAAAAAAGATGATTAAACATGTTTACTTACATCAAATATGACTTATTTTCATTGGAATAGGTACAACTTCTAAAAATTGAATTTCTGATGATTCTCTGTAATAGGAAGTACACCACTAATTCATGGCCCCATTGCTTTCTATGTTAAATTCCTCAATTTCAAGCAGACACAGCTCTTTTGTTTCAAGTTCAAATAAAGTGACAATCATTGCATGTCAAAGCAACACTTTATGGTGTCTTGTACTGGAAAAATCAACATACCTTTAATGGCATATAAGAAAGAACTGGTTCCCGGAACTTCGGATGTACCAAAACAGGTACTTCAGATCTGACATACAGGCAAAAAGTACCCTCTTTATAAAATTTGGTGCAGTTTTTTTAATATTCAAAATTATAAGTCAAAAAGTGTTCTACAATGATCACCAGTCATTCAGCTTTCATTTGATACCAACAATACCTAAATATTCTACATATTTTAAAAGTTACACTCATGCGTAGGAACTATTTTGTGTTAAATATGTACTACTTTCTAGTATGTGCTTTCTGGCCGGGCCGAATTAGTGGTGTTACACCATAATAAAAATTCCATCACTAAGTGTCTGTTAAAATCATCTGTTTACAGTTTTCACTTTTAAACCATCATCTTAATAACTTTTCGAAAAAGTGTCATACATATATATATGTATACAAAATTTAAAAACTTTTCAATATATATATATATACATATAAACAAGTCTTAATTGAAAACAATGTTCAAACCTATGATTGCGTTGGAAAAAAACCGCAATTTGTATACGTGTGCATGCAAAACAAATTTCTTTGTAGAGGGGTCTAAATACAGCACAAACAACATTTTCCAAAAGACCAAAAAAGTGAAAAAGTATATTTTAACAAAACGCATTTGACTAGCAGGTCGAACAACGGATGTTCTTAAACCCTGCTGACTGCCATGGCGATTGCCAAATAAACGGATCACAGATGTAACACAATGGATCTTAATCATATTAATTTAATACCAAACAGAAAACAATAAACTTGCGGAAAAGATGGTATATCGCAAACATGCGGTGCAAAAATTTGTACACCATATCCGGATTTCGACAATTAATGTCTCTTCAGTGATGTTAGGAATCGAAACGGTATTTGGAAGGCCATATAATTTACCTCAATTTGGGATTGACTCTTGAATTTTGAAGAGTCGAAATAGAATGAACGGATCATATAAACCCGAAGGCAAATATAATACAAGCCCAAACGAAAAAATATAAACAAGTCTAAATTGAAAACAACGTTCAAACCTATGATTGCGTTGGATAAAAACCGCAATTTGTATACGTGTGCATGCAAAACAAATTTCTTTGAAGAGGGGTCTAAATACAGCACAAACAACATTTTCCAAAAGACCAAAAAAGTGAAAAAGTATATTTTAACAAAACGCATTTGACTAGCAGGTCGAACAACGGATGTTCTTAAACCCTGCTGACTGCCATGGCGATTGCCAAATATATATATATATATTGATAAAAACTATCAACATGACAAGATCTAAATACCCAAAATTTTTCTGAAAAATTGGACATAACATCTATGAGCTATTGTCCCTGAAATGTGTAAATTTACAAATTTTCACAGTTTTCTGCTACTATCCGACAACTATATCAATATATTATAAGAATAAATTGCAAAAGTGGTCTGGAGAAACTTTTTTTTTACAGTCTGAACTTATTCTGAATTGTTTAACTTCTAATTTAAATTGATTGCGTTTGAAATATGTGTTTTTTATCGTTTTAGGTGCACAATTTGTCAATACGATCTATTTCGGCTCCTGGGAGCCTCTAGATTTATAATGAATAATTTGTATTTATGTATGATTATTTTCTTAATGTATTAAATGAAACATTAATTATTCTTTTCCATTTGTTGTTATACTTATTTATAAGTCCAGATCCTATCATATGTCAGTAGTTACAAATTAGACGGCAAAATTGAGAAAATTTGAATATGCAGGTTACCCCATTTTGTTGTGGCATATACCAGACACCAACATTATTTGCCGAGCTTGATATTTTTTTTGATTGGGTATATATGGTTATACTTTGCAAGTAGATATGTTGTTTTACAATAATAAACGGGTCTTGGAGTATTTTGGCTCTGAAAGATGACCAAAATCAGCCATTTTGGACATGTAGCTAAATAAGACATATTGAAACTGTTAGATTATACATACACTTAATAGACAGCATTGTTAATTCTATGCATTCTTACACTTAAAGTGATGTATTACTAGGAACAACTATCAAAAAATTATAAATGTTACCATATTTTTTTTATTTAAACCAGCGAAATATGCCAAAAAAAGGCTTATTTTTGCTGTTTTCGAGCAATTTCATCTGTTAAAACATGGCGCTCAAAAAATATCCAGATCGGTTCAATATTTTCCCAAAAAAATTTGTGTGGTTATTTACATTACTAAGGTGCACCAATATGCCAAATATGAACTCATTTGGAAAAAGTGACATTCGGACGGTTTTGCATGGTTTTCTGGCAGATTGGCTCTTAATATATGCTACTTTAGGCTGTGTACGTATGTTTTTGTAATATAACCACTTTTATTTTTCAATGGGGTGTTGGATTTTCTGGGGCCGTGGTTCTTACAGTACGGCAAATAATTTTCCAAGAGTCCTTCTATTGTGAATCCATGTAGACAATAAGGACAATAATAATATCGTCCGTGATGGCTACGCTGGTCACCTAATAATCTATTTAGATCTTTGATCCAGCAGTTATGTGATTTTTTTTATCCGATATCATGAGAAGATTTACGTGTTGTTCCTACCGATGTTTCGTAATGTGTATCGGGAATACTTCACCCTTGTCGAATCTAAACACATTAGTCGATAATTTGTTCTGTTGTTCAAACTTTGGAATTTTAGTTAATTTCATAGGAAACGTGATGTTCTCAAAGGTTCAAACTGGACACATGTTCCTTATATTTTCAAATCCGCTGTCCGTCACGTTTTGTTGGGTATAAGGCGGCCAGAATCGTCCACATAAAACATTTGTTGTCCTTGTTTTTCATATTAACTATGGCATATTTCGATCTGAGTTTGATTGGAAGTGGAATATGAACTGGACCTTTAAGGGGTCTGTAACGTGCCATATGTAAGGTCAGACTCTTCACCTTATTCACCGTCCAATTACTCCCTTGTCGCTGATATTCGATAAAAGAAGTATACATCAATTTGATTGATTCCTTCAATCCTTAAAACATGTGGCTCTGCAGTTTCTACATCATTTTCTTTTCGTCTGCTCATTTTTACTTTTATTGACAAGTACCACTTCAGTTCACCCTTTTC